TTACTTACTTAATACAAATCTGCTTGTTGACACTTCCTAAATTCTGCATTTCTTTGGGTAAATTCCTTCTAAAGTACGATAAAATTCTCCTATATTTTCCCTGTCCGCCATTTTGTTTTTGTTTGAGTAACCGCTGACCAACGGCTCACATTCGAAGAAAATGTCAGCCTTTTCAGGCTGTTTTATTCATTTTAAAGGTGAAGAAGGCCCTTTAACTAACTTAACAGGGACTTCCCTCAAAAAAGTAATAGAATGCCATAGTCTTTGGTYACATTTAGATGGAGAACAGAGAGAAATTGCTGAGAAAACATCAAATCTAATACAAAATTTCGAGTTAACTCATGAACACTCTGATTTAACTGCCAGTAACCTACAGTATCACAGGAATTGCTACTCTAAGTTTACACATATCACTCTAATTAAACGTGCCCAAGCAAGAGTCGCTAAAAAGAGAGAAATTAATACCATTGAGAGTGATACTGCTCATCAGTTAGAGTCAGAGGAATCGCCAACTCCAGCCAGAAAACTTTTAAGATCGTCTACAAGTGCTACACCTACCAGTGCCAGAAGTAAAGCAGTTTTGCCACCAATTTGCATCATATGTAACCAGAAGAAGTCATACATCAGTGAATTGGTAAGTTTCAAATACTTTACACTCGATTTACACGAAAAAATAGTAGTCACCACGAAAACCAGTTACTAGGAAACAACACAGGTAGCCCACCTTGTTCAGCGTATTGATGAGGGTTTTTTACTATGATGATTATAAAGATTATAAATATTGATTTTATGAAAAAGTCATAGAAAAGATTCAACACACCGTCATATTAATAAAGTGTTAATTATAATAATAACAATTAACATCACTTCTATTTAAATAGGGAACAAAAAAGCGCGCACTAGACAAGCTGGTCACCGCGGAAACTATTGATGGGGGAAAACTACGTGAAGCTGCAACAATTAAAGAAGATCAAAGAATTTTAGTGCACATTCTAGACAAGGACTGTGTGGCTTTGGAAGTAAAATACCACAAACGATGCTACAAAAATTATACGTCGTTTCTATATAATGCCCCACAGAAAGCAGTGTCTGATGATGATGATTGTAAATATTTGTACAGTAAGTCTTTTGATATATTTTCGAAATATGTAAAACATCACATTGTTGACATRCACAGTATACATTATATGAGTAAGCTTAAAGCTGAGTTTATAAAAACTGTAAAACAAGTAGAAAATGAGGATGCCTCAAGTTATCGAACTTACCGACTGAAGGAACGTCTACAGCAAAGATTCCCACAGCTAGTTTTCCATACTCCAAAAGTGCGCAACAAGAGCGAAATAGTCTACGTGGAGGACTTGAATAGAGGGAAGGTTGCTGAGACTATTCTAACAAGCAAAGAACAAAGTGATGTCGATACAACGGAGGATGAGGGTGAGKAAAATGAAGATGATAACGTCAAAGAATCAGTGACGGAGGGCTCTGGATGTAGAACACCCTTGAGAGACTTCTATTCGGTTGCCTTGGAACTAAGAAAGCATATCCGTGACTACGCGTCTTCATGGTACGAAACTTGRCCTCCACTCGCTTCAGATTTAACTAGTGATAGTGTTGCAAAAGTGGTCCCCCCATTGTTATTTAACTTCATGGCATGGATGCTAGGATACTCAGAAGAGCCTGAGGACTGTCACTAYGTTAAAATGGATRAGAGCGCAGGAGTAAAACTATTCTCCATCTGTCAGGATATTGTCTATAATAATTCCAACGGCAAAACACAGACACCAAAGTCACTCGCACTGGCAATCGCTGTTAGGCAGATGTCTGGGTGTTCCAGTCTCATAAGTGYATTAAATGGTTTGGGACATTGTGTATCGTTGTCCTCTACAATGGCGTATGACACTGCATTAGCGCAGCTAAACATCGAAACMTCAGCTCTAATACCAAAGGAATTTGTACCTAATGAATCCATCAATCTAGTATATGACAACATCGACTTTGGCGAAGAAATAAAGAAACAAACCCATGTCACCAATGGAATCATTACCCAAAAGATCGTTTCCGAAGATCCCKCCCCAGTCAAACCACATGGCAATCCCAACATCCGCAAATCCAAGCGTTCACTAGAAGTTCCGCAATCAACAATTACGCCATTTAGTATTGGCAGTAAGAAGACGCCGCGGTTCCATGATGGAGGTGAAATAACAAAAACTACTACTACAGCAGAAAAGCTTGACTTGGCATATGTACTCGTGAAGATGGTAGAACCCAATCGAGATGAGAGTGTCCTTCCAGGTTGGACAGRATTCAACACGATGTTCTACYAAGGCAGCCATGGAGACGAAATATCTAGAGTCGGATATCTACCAGTGATAGATGGGTCGCCAACRGAGTACTCTAYCATAAATGCAATATTAAAAAACAGCACARAGATTGCAGACAAATTGGATCTAAGGTACTGCATAATTGATTTGGTAGATAATCAGTGTAATCTCCTAGGTAGCATTAATTGCATATATTATGAAGTCAATTAATTTTACAAAAATATTTTGTGGTATATGGTTTAGATTATGACTATTATTCTTTAATATTATCTGCTACGTTTTCCCAAGGTATGCCACTTTGGTGTTTGATGAAGCGGTATATGCAAAAGTGCAGCAGGTCAGATGGAAGAATAATCTTTACTATAATCGCTTTGTTGTGCGCCTTGGGGAGTTTCACGCCACGATGTCGTTTATCAGTGCAATATCAAAGATCTTTGAAGATGGAGGGTTGAAGGTAAGCTTTATTGAAAAGAACGCGAAACATTTAGTTTCACTGGCTACTCAGAGGATGATGCTGTGGTGACTGATGTAAAACTAGTAATGAGTGGGCGCATTTCCATCGCGCTCTGCTACATTACAGTTATTTTGATTTTGTAATTTTCYAGGATGTCTTCRTTGAATCTGGAATAATCAGCGAGGGTTCAATCAAAGGTGTCTTATCAGGAAAACACTATAATCGATCCATGTATTGTCATAAAGTGATGCACGAAGCACTTCAACAACTCCGGTTTGAGGAATTCATG